CACTGTCCAACACAGAAACTGGCTTCTTACTAGCTTTCAATATCTATTGGTTGGATGGTTTCATTCAGGTGGTTTTCCAGACTCTTGTAATTAGATTCATGATATCAAAAAAAGTTCAAACATACACTGATCCGAAAGATATTATAAAATGCAGTTAAACAGAACTTGCCTGGTAATAGGTATCTGTTTTGATCTTCCGGATTCATTTCAATCCAAGAAATTATGTCAAATCTATCTCATTATTTTTCTAGAGCCAGGTTAATTAATTTAACAGCATCAGGCAGAACAATCTGATAGTTGGAAAAAAGGAATTAAATAAGTCTAGTTTTTAAGCTTTGTCAATACAGTTCCAGGATATCAAGCATACCTTTCAAAGGGGTGGGGGGATGGGGTAGTTTTAAGTATTATTGCAGTTACTTGTTCCTTCAAATAACAGGCTTCCTGAATATTAATGGCTGGAACAATAGTAGTTTTTATTTCAAAACCACAAGTCTAGACGTTGCTTCTCTGGTTAAACAGCTCAGGAATGTTAACATGGGTGCCTGCACTCTTTATATTTCTGTCCTGCTATCTTCACTGTGTTTACAGTGTCTCTGCTCAGGGTTGCATGATGGCTGCTGTAGTTTCAAGCATCACATCCAACACCATCCCAAAAGGAACAACGAGAGGGGGGAAGAAGGCTATCCTCATGGGCTGGGTTAGACTCTGTAAGTCTTGTCCAAGTTGGAGAAAGAGCATGAAGAACCCCTTGGACTCAGATCAAGTTTGCTTTTACTCTAATTTACTCCTAAAGCAGGCAGTTCAAAAATGATATTGGGACTAGAATGCAGGTGGGTAGAGATGGTCTCCCCTTGCCTTCCTTGCCCCTCATGGAGAGAGTCCTGAAGTTCAGTGGTCTTGGCAGCCCACACAGAGTGGCATGTCTGCCAAGTGAATGGAGAACAGTATTTTGGGTCTGCTGCATTTTATAACAAGAGCTGCCTCAGTACACACAGACAACTTCAAATGTGGGTAAGAGAGTTAAGTCTCCTACTCAGTCAGCCATGGCACTCACATCTAATGACTGAGTTCGGAACTTTGAAAATCTTACAGGGTCTGCACTGGGACAATATCCCCATCTCTGTTGAGGCTAGGAGTTCACCCTTTATGTCCAGTTCACACTTTATGTCTGAAAGTTTAACAGACAGTTGAGGTGGGGACGTAGAGGAAGAGAGAACTTTGGACATAAAGAACAATATGTGCAAAGGTACAATGGTGTAACACAGTAGGGTCTGTTGAAGGCACGGGTCCTGAGGAGAGAATAGGAGGAGGTGAGACTGGAGAGGGAGCCAAGAGCCAATGGAGCATGCCAGGTGCAGGAGTGCAGACTTCTGGAGGTAAACAGAATGTACTGTGGGAGCCCAGAGGAAGCATGACTGGGCTGAGAAGGGCCTCCAAAAGTCTTGCACCTGTGTCCAGCACAGACCTGATGTTCAGCTAGGACCTGGGGGTACAGTTGTACAGGTTAGTCATGCCCATGCCATCCCAGTTGTTAAATACAGTAGTCCCCCTTTATCCCTGGGGGATAAGTTCCAAGACCCCCAGTGGGTGACTGAAACCAAGGATTGTACAGGACCCTATATATACTATGATTTTCCCTATACACATACCTATGATAAAGTTTATCAGTTAGGCACAGTAAAAGATTAACAACAATAACTAATAATAAAATAGAACAATTATAACAATATACTATAATAACAGTTATGTGATTGTGCTCTCTCTCTAAGTATCTTACTATACTGTACTCAGCCTTCTTCTTGTAATGAACAGCATAGGGTTGTTTTTTTTTTTCTTTCCTTATTTAGCTGAGAACTTTCACCTTTTCACTTAAAGGAAGCACTTTATGGCTTCTCTTTGGCATATCTGAATTGCCAGCATCACTGCTTGTGTGCTTTGGGGGCCATTATTAAGTGAAATAGGGTGACTTGAACACAAGCACTGTGACACTGTGACAGTCTATCTGATGACAGGTGGACAGTGTGGACACTCTAGACAAAGGGATGATTCATGTCCTGGGGCGGGGGGAGCAGATGGCACAAGATTTCATCATGCTACTCAGAGGGGCATGCAATTTAAAACTGATGAATTGCTTATTTCTGGAATTTTCCATGTAATAGTTTCAGATTGTGGTTGACCATGAGTAACTGAGACTCCAGAAAGTGAAACTATGGATAAGGGAGGATTACTGTATTGTGAATATTACCCCTGCTCTAGAGGAGATGGTGAGGGTCGCAGGCAGAGAGCAGGGCATGGGCTTTCTAGGAAGAGTGGAGACCTTGTGCAAAAGTCATCTGAGAAGGGAGAGGTGGGAATACAAGGAGAGGATGAGGCCGGGGTGGTGGACAGCCAGACCATGAAAGGCCTTCTGCAACACACAGAGCTTTGCAGTCAGTTCTCTGGGCCTTGGGAAAACAGGGTGGACTAGATCCCACCAACCCAATGACCCACTTGCAAAATTAATCTGTGAGTCAACTCTAGGACCTGGGACCTGGGACCCTGTCACATCTAAGGGGAAGGGCATTTGATGATGTAGAGGGCTTAGATGGCAAGACCAAAGACTCAGCAGAAATAATTATGTCATATTTTATTTCTTTTAAACATAGAAATGAAAGGAGAAAAGCAAGGGAGGGAGGGAAGGAAAAAGGAAGGAAGAAAGGAAAGCAAAGGATAGGGAAAAGAGAGAAAAGAAGTAAAAACCAACATGGCAAAACTGACAAGATTTGGCAAGGCTGAATAGTGGATATAGAGATTATTTATCATTATTGTTATTGATTTGTTTTATGTTTCTCCACTTTGCTTGAAATATTTTTGTTTTTTTGTCTTTTTCCGTGTCTGGCAACGGATCGCAACCCTCAGTGTCGCCCCGGTACTGGACCGGGGACCGGCAACGGGATCGCAACCCTCGGCGTTGCTCCCGCGCCTCGCTCAGCCAGTGAGCGGGAACCAGTCTGTATGTGGGATCCGAACCCTCGGGCAGGAGCGCCGCCGCACTTCCCAAGCGGCGCACTATCCAGTGCGCCACCGGGCCGGCCCATTGAAATATTTGTTTTAAAATGAGCATGTCAGGTATAAATTTAAATAGATATAGACTTTTGGGCAGTTATTTGACATAAGGTATCAAAAGAACTAAAAAATGCTCATTTTTGACTCAATAATTTCATGCTAGGACATGCAAAGATTTATGTACAAGAAATCTATTTTCTATTGTTTCAAGTATAGTGATAACTCATTCATTTCACCTTGGGTGGGTGGGAGGGGAAGGCGTGCTGAATTAATTTCCCAAATAAACAAAATGAGCTATTTTAATGGAAGTCTTCCCCAAATACATTGTACCTGTCCTGGTACAATGAGAAGAGTATTCTGGACACAACCAACCTTTTCTTGATGATTTCTGATTAATGTAACTAACATCAAAGTACATATTAATGATTCATTGATCCAAAAAGCTGTTGGGTTCGAAGGGCTTTATTGTCCCTATACACTACTTTCTCATAGGAAGTTTGTTTCTCTGCCTGTCTTGGTTCTTTCTTTTTCCTTTACAGCTGGCTGTTATTTCTTGCTTCTCTCACCTGAACTTTCACTGGAAACCTTGCCTTCTAACATCTAATCAGAATTTTAAAACAAACGCCCCCCCCCAGGAAACCAAGTATGTACATGTTGTATCTAAAGCAAATCATGTTCAAACAAAGACCTGGAGGAATGTCTCCAACCACCTGAAGAACTTGGCTAAAATACTTTATCCTGGGTCGGACCTCAACACATCCTAATTTAGAACTTCTGGACCACACAAGCACTTAAGGTAATTCTTATGAATGTTAGAATTCAAGAATATCTTCCCTGTGGATTCGCCTATGAAAAAATACCTTATGAACTCAAAGCTATGCAGGGCCAACAGGTCGTCTCTGGTACAGTTGCGCTCTGCCTAAGGCTGGAGTGTCTCGGGAGTCTGCTATGATGGCTTCATTCCTGTGCCATGCCAGGTGCTAAATATTCTGACTATCACATGGACTTGATGACCTCTGTTTTCCGAATTTGGATTACTTGGGTGAGTAGAGGGTCGGGTGAGGAGAGATTTACTTCCTGGGCCTCTCTGTCTTTGGGTTGGCTGAGATTCGGATGGTTGAAGTCCACCTGGACTTGTGCCATGGGGAGAAATAGGGTAATTGTTACTCATATTTTCCAAATATGATAATGTCTTCACAGACTGATTAACTTTCACAAACAAAATAAAATAATGCTGCCTACTTACCAGAGATAAATTGGCCACACCCTCTTATCATTACTTATCCTTCTTGGGCTGAACATTTGTTTTTTTTTCCTTTTTGTCTTTTTTACTGACCGGTAACGGGATCACAACCCTTGGTGTCACGCCGGTACCGGGGACCGGCAACGGGATCGCAACCCTCGGTGTTGCGCCCGCACCACGCTTAGCCAGTGAGCGGGAACCGGTCTCCACATGGGATCCGAACCCTTGGCGGGAGCGCCACCGCACTCCCAAGCAGCGCACTCTCCAGTGCACCACCGGGCCGGCCCTTGGGCTGAACATTTAATAGTTTATATCATACTCAACTAAAATAAGTTTCAATATTTACTGCACCCATTTTTACTTATTACTTTTATCAAAATGATTACTTTGCTCATACTCCTGTCTGATATGTTTATAAAAAGTTTTTTTCTATTGTATGTCACTTAATGAATAATAATTAAAATCCTCTCTGTCATGCAAATAAAACAGTTTTAAAGTGGTATATATGTCTACTGCTTTTTCCTATTAAAGAGAAGATTTGCAGATTTTTATGTTGCGTTTTAAATTAAAAAGTCTCCAAATGTCTTCGATATGCTGATGGCCAAACTACAAAACCTAAACAACATTCACTAAGAGGATAATAGAACATGAGTAAAATACTTAGATGCATATTAGTATCGGTCAGAGCCTCAAAGAACAACAAAACAACCACTCCAGAATGAAAATACTGGTATATTTGTATAATGCAAAGAGAAATACAGATATAAATCCTCAAAATGGAAGGTACATTAATAAAAATGTAGCATTATAAGCAAAAAATATTATATAGTACTTGCAGAATTGTCTTTCAATTTAAGAGTAACATCTAACAAAGAAATATTATTTAAATTATAGTTCTCATTAATAATTCAAAACAACCATCAATAGAACAGCACAGTTTAACCTAGCAAACATTTTAAGGAAATGCTTCGTCTCCTAGAAGGAGGGTATCTTTATATTCCATTCATTTATTATACCAAGGACAACAGAACAACTTTCAAAATGGAAATTAGTTTCATAAGACAGAATAAAACTGGGCTTTTCAAAGCACAAGCCATTTCCGTAAAATTATTTTAATTTTTACTGGTAAGAAATACCTAAACAATTTTGACTTAGTACTCTGCTTCTCAGAGCCCTCCCAATCTGTGAACCACAACCAGTACATACAAACACATGCAATACTGTACTTCTCCAAACCATTACTAACCCAAACACTTTTTAGTCTTTTAAAAGGTACAATTTTACAGAAATGTTTCCATTCAAGATTGGTATAATACAGAAAACAGTTGTCGCTGACATGTATTTTTCAGTAGTACAGGATAAACTAGGAACCAAATCTTGTTACTTACTGCTTACAGTATGACTGCCTTGCTACTGACTCCCATTCTGCTCTTTAAGTTCAAGATCAACACTGAACAAAGTTCTCAACACTTCCAAAGAACCAGCGCAGCACAGCTGACCCAGCAGGCATTCAGGGGGAACTTTAGACACTAACCTCCCGGCCCCCTTCTCCTGCTTCCAACAGAAGGCCCTCGAGAAATCTAACTTGTGAGCTCCCCGTGGGTTCCTCTACGTCACCGCAAAATGTAATGCCACTTGAGGTTGTCAAAAATAGCTTCTGTAGAAAACTGGCCATGGCCTTTAGGAAATGTTGCATGAAGATTAGTTTAGCTTTTATAGAAAAAGAAAAAAGTAATCACACATGGGATAAAAAGACGTTAGTACCAGTACAAAAAGACTGCAGGGCCTATTGTCAGGAAGAAAGTAGTATCTTAGGAGAAGGAATGTGCGGAGCTGGAGTGGGGCTGGAACACGCAATCCCCACCTCCACCCCCCAAAGAGGAGTCTGTACAATCCAAGTGTTTTCCACTTCGAGAGTCATTTTGAAGGCAGCTTAGAAAATTAAAAAGGGGACAGTAGTGGGGACAAACGACGTTGTCCAAGCCAAAGGGAAAGGCTGGGTTTGGGGCAGGGACTGTGGCAGGAGAGTCCTTCATAAACCAATGCCTTTCAAGTCGCAGGGGAGGGTCGCCTGGGTGGTCTGGGGGCTCTGGCAGCACGGGAACTGGGCCCTGAAGCAGTCCCTCAGCTCCCTGTTGAAGAGGAAGCACACGACGGGGTTGATGCCAGCCTGCGCGAAGGTCAGCCATACGGAGGCCGTCAGGTAGGCCTGGGGGACGGCGCCGGGCCGCACCAATACCCGCAGGTAACTGGCCACGACGTAGGGCCCCCAGAGGAGCAGGAAGAGCAGCGTGACGGCGTAAAACATCTTGCACAGCCGCTTCTCCGTCTTGAACTCCTCCAGCACGAGCAGGCGGCGCGCGCCACGGCCCGGCCCAGCGGGCCGGATGCCCACTAGCGCGGGCGGCGTGGGCCCGCGGCCGAAGCCCGCCGTCCAGTTGGCGGCCGCCTGGCCGGTGGCGCCGGGGCCGTGCT